AAGCTAAACCAGAAGCACAGCAGCAAAGACTCATGCAGCTTCTGGGCTGGATTCAGCTCTGCAGATGGTGATAAAGAATTAATCATCTTTTATAGTCTTTATGGATCTGTATTAACATTGGTGGATGAATCTTATTGTGATCATGCTAACTATTACAAGGAAGTTTATTTATTTACTTATTTAAAAAACTGCAGACTGATGCTGCCTTACTTGTGCAAATCTGTTAAAATACAGACAGCCAGTCACTTAATACAGAGTGATTGTCTGTGAGTACAAGTATCAGGATCAGGTTCTTATTCTGCACATTTTAATTTTCTGTTTGTGCTTTGAATTTTTGTTGGTTTGTTGTGAGCTTAACATGCAAGTATCAAAGAGTTTAAGTCTAGTATTTGAACTAACTTTGCAATTTTTACATGGGAAAGTCATCAAATTTTATTAGACTGTCTGTGATGTCTTACTCCATTTTGTGACCAATGCTCTTTTCTTGATCATATGAGTGGTAACCTATAGCCTCGGTGTTTAGCAGAAAGCTACTTCTCCGTAAAATTCCACATGATGAATCAAAATCCAAAGCTCCCCCCTCACCTTGTGGCTCCTTCATTCAAGAAATATCATTTCAAACAGGCAAAAATTATTCAGGATCTAGCAAATTGCTATATACTTTGACACGTAAGTTTATCCTGAGACAAATGCACGTATGATCTCCTGTTTAGCACCACCTGTCCACCATTGTTGGTTTACAATTCCCAAAGAAGTAAAGATTTCTCTTATTGTCATGTGACGTTTCCTAGTCATGAATTATATTAAAAAAAAAAGAAAGGTAAGAGCACATATATATGTATTCATGTAAAAATATTTACACGTAAATATATTTTTTAACCTTACATCTTTGTATATATGCATGTTTGTACATCTACATCTACATATGTTCCTAGCTTTTTTTAAGCCCTTGTTTCCAACAATGATTTTAATCGAAGTTCCAAAATATGGATTTCATTTAGGATTAACAAAACAATTAGTAAGGCAATAACAATTTACTGGTATAAATGTGTAACAAATATGTGTCTTTAACAAGAAACTTAAAACAGTGGTTTTAATTAGTAAATGGAATCCACCATTTTCTAGTTGTCTCATTAAAATGAAATTAGATGTAGGGTTTGGAATTTTAATTCAAAACATTCACCTTTATTTTTGGAACACGTTCCTGAATGAGTTCCTAGATTATTTTAGCAAATGTCTGTGCTAATGTACTTAAACGTAGAGTCCAATCTCATTAACATTACCTTCCAGAACGAGGACATCGGAAGAATTTTACTTGAGAAGGAAACAGGGGACTGTACGAAATGACTTCACTCAAAGCAAAGATTATTTCCATGTGTAACAGTGCAACTTAATTTACATTCCTACATCTCAAAATAACTGGCACGGTATTTTCAGTAATTACTGAGTACCTACCTGCTACATTCAGGGTCCCTCAGTTGAGGTAACTGCGCTGCAAGCAGCGGTGGAATGAAATTTTACATTTGTGGCCATATGGAATACTCACATCACCTACTTTAAGGTGTGCAACCCAGGGGCCTGTCTCATGACAGTGCCTAACTCATCTCTAGCAACTGTGTAAGTAATCTAAGATTACTTATTTTCCTCTGTATCAGTGTGTGTTGTGAAACACTATGTCCTTAGAGTAACAAATTATATAAAGTGAGACAAAAAGACTGGAATACCTCAATGCTTTCTATACTGCAAATTAATGTTTCTAAGAAAAATCAATTGAGAAAAGAAAAAAAAAAAATTTGAGAAATAAGCACTTTAAGTGATAATGGCAGGGAGGAATTTCAAACAAATTTTCAGCTAAACGAGGCTCATGCCTAATAGCTGTCCAGGGCTTGCTCCAGACCATTTTTGCTCTAGGTCTGTGAGGCTTGACAGAAAAGACAATTTTTAAAGAGCTTCGAGGGAGTCATTTCTGTGTGTGGATACCCAGGCTAAGCCAACAAACTGCAGAGCTACAACTGGGAGCTTTGAATGTGAAGTGTCCGTAGACACCAGCTACCAGCTGCGCACACTTACCTACTTCTGCACCGTCGCAGACAGCACAGAGTAGGAGTGACTTTTTCCACATACGTTAGGACACTTTTGACTCTTATTCAACTTGGGATACAAGGGGGACACTCAACTCATTATGAGCTCCTGGAGTCAGGTCCACCCCGCAGCTCCCACTCCAGGGAGTTCTATGGCTTCATGGGGAAAGAGCGGATGAGGGACAGGACACGTGTTGGATCTGCCCCTGCCCTCCAAAACCACCCTCACTGCTTCCCCTCCAGCCTTCCTAGTTCCTCCGACCCCCAGAGGGGCAGGCAGAGGCAGAGGTGCCAAGAGGCAGAGGATGTGGCAAGAGGAGGAGGAGGAGGGTGGAAGGAGCCAGCCTTGGCAAGTAAAAGTTGCTAAATGCTGTATTTAGATAGTCAGACTTTACTTCACAGATCTGCTCCCTTGGCCATTGTCCCTTATATTGGGACGGTTAATTACCCTCATGCATCCATACAGCTTTCAACCTTGTCGTGTTAAAGATCACCCTTGTATTTTTTTCAGTCTAATTTTCCAGAGTCACTTTGAATTCTAATCCTTCTGTCCTGAGGGACCGAGTCCCTTCGTCTTACATGGGTTGCTTACTTTGTACGCCTTGTTTTACAAGGACAAATGTGATTTTCATGGATACAAGTCTAATTCATGTCTTCTCTAGAAAAATAATCCCTTTTTTTTTTTCTCTAGATGGTACTAAAATGTGAAGCTAATGCAAAAACACAAGTACATGACAATAATGAAGTATGTTTCTGCTAAGCTCTGCGGTGCCTCATTTGTGCCTCACGCAGAGTGCTGAACTAAGTAAAAACTTGATCTGCATCAAATGAAGTGAACTTAACTGACTTCCTTGAAGATTCATAAACAAGGATGCCAGAGAGCGAGGCTGCGAGGCTGCCCAGCTGCCTGCGTAATGGGGAGAATCTCACCCAGCCGTTCTGGGACCACGCGCGGGAGATGCGGCTGATCAACAAACTCAAATGAACTCTCCAAAGCGCTTGCTTCAATTTTCTCTGGAAAATTATCAGTCAGAGTCTGGTATACAAATAAACAACTTCCATGCAGATCCGAACTCCAAATATATGAAAAAAACCAAGGGAGTTAAAGATTTGCGTGTATCTTGTGCACCATTTTCCAAGAAAGTCCCAAGAAGTAGCCCTGTCTCTTAGAAGGTTACAGAGGAACAAGCCAATGCAAAGGTCTTTCATTTCATCTGATACGAAATACCATATGTTTTTGCACGCTTCATTAATGCTCCCTGGTTTGCTGCCTAAAAGTGCACGACGAGCTCAACCTTCAGGGGTCAGCAGTGCTCAGCATATCTATGAATTGAGCTCTAAGCGACCGCGGGGACTATCGAACGAGGGCTGACTCTGCTGAATATTAATCCTGCAGTTTTACGTTGGATGGTTCGGAATCTGAAAACCAGCTAAGTACATATCATCCCCCTTCTCGCAAATGCCACTAATCACCTGTACAGTTCTCTTCCCAGAAATAAAATAGCATTTTATTCAGAGGGTGCACTTGGAGAATATTCTTCTGAACAGATTTGCTAAACTGTAAAATTCTCTGTTTACTCATAGTTTTGAAATTAGATAAATATAGTAGCTTTTTTTGGTTTGAGCTTTCCAGTGCAGAGAGTCTTGTGTTTTGAGTGATAACATTCATTTTTGGAAAGCCTAATACTATCAGGCTAGCTGTACGTGGTCTGGAATAAAGATTGCTAAATGCAGCCGAGTTTTTGTGGCTGCACTGAAATACGAGCAGTGTAAAGAGAGGCTGCTTCACTGTCTCGTTTTTATGCCCAGTGGTCTTTCATAGACTGTTCTGCCTAAATTTTAGTTTTAGTAGATTACCTTCAAATTAGAGTAAATTAGAGCTCAGGATTTACTCACAGTGCAATGCCTTGCTCCACCAAAAGCCTACCAATTTAAATGCAAGGGAGCACAGTCTTTATAGCTTTAGAGTGGTCTTGACAGTGTGCTGTTTATGGACTCTTTTTAGCATACACAGGCATATATGCATGCGAAGCAGAGAGGCTGAAGCGAAATGACTCAAACTGTGGCGCTCTCCTGTTACAACATTAACATTATAGTTATTCCAGGGTTTCTTAGTCTTGTTAAATAACAGTGGATTGAATAAAAAAGGAGTAAGAAGTGTGATGGATATGAAAATATAATGTATACAGTATAATAAATTAATGCTTAGCATTTTCTGCGTGTTTACAAAACCTGCCTCTTTTGAGCTACACTGCACCAAAAGTATTATCATATTAATCAGGACAATGCAAAGGAATATATATTTCTATCAAAATCTAATCAGAGCATTGAGCATTCCTAAAAAAAACCCTAAAGACAAAAACAAAATAAAAAAGAGGAGGTTTTCATCTCATTGAAACAATGCATGATATACTGCTAATGCCGCTGCATATACAAAAAGGCATGTTTATACGTGGTTAAAAACACAGCCTGAGCCTTAGCACAGTCTTGCATGTGGAATTTTATTGCATGTAGAATAAACAACTCTGCATCTGACTCAGAATCACAGCCATAACCCCTCAAGGTATTTTTATTTGACCTCAAACGAACATAGAAAAGGAGTTCATAGAGTAGCCATTTCTTTGCTATTTCTGCAGCATCTGTCAAGGCACTGGCAGTGCAGCCTCAGCGTAGAAAGTGTTAGTGCTTCTGAAACCTGTTATTAGTGTAAATCTTGGCTTGGACTTGACTTTATTTTATATTTAATGACAGGATGTCAAGAATACTTTGATCGGTATTAATGTAGTTGCTGGAATGAAAATACTTTCAGTCAATTAGTGTTTTGATTCCAGGCAGTTAGCTATACCATCCACCATCAAGTAGTGATGCTCTTTTAGACTACAATCTGTCCCTCACCCCTGACACAGATAGAAGACTTACCACAAGGGAGTAACAAATCTTGAATCCAGGTTTAGCCACAAAGTAGTCATCAGATTTGAAGGTTATCTTTATCTGATTTGTTCTTGATGTTATTCTTGGAGGTACTTCCTTGTGCCCACACCACCGTCCTCGTATAACTGTGCTGGTCTCTGATACATCTTCCACTTCCACAAAGTCATACCTGGGAACAAGTTTGAAGGATCAGTTTTTGCTGACTCTGGTCAAAGAAGATGGTTGCAAATAGCCAGGAGCACAGCTGAAGACCCAAAGACAACTGTCTCCCATTCCCCACTGCAAAACATCAGACTAAATATTATAAATGGTGGACATGTCATGTAGCACAAAATACACTAAGCTGCAAGCTACTGCCCAAATGCTCAAATGGCTGATTATCAGGCTCCTGGAACATGACAGACAGTATTTTCCACCCTATTAAAATAGCAATGAGAGGCACTTGCACGTGACTAGTGCATAATGAGCATAAGTATTGTGTTTCATGTGGTGGATAAATAATTCAGAGACCTTACAAAATAATATTTAAGAGAGGCTGCCCAGGCTGAGCAGCTGCAAGCACTTGTGAATTTTCTGGTGGTCCCTCAACTCCCTGCAGCAGCAGCCATCGGCTCCCGCCTGCTGCGCCTGTCAGAGGGCTGGAGCCCGGCCAGGGGCAAAGAGGGGATGCTGGAGGGACATGGGGCAGTGCGTGCTGCCAAAAGGTGCTTTTTTGGACCTTCTGTGTAGGTGGCACAGTGTTCCTGGTAGATGGTTTGGAAAGACGAGGTTTAGATTGAATATTAGGAAAAATTTCTTCACTGAAAGGGTCGCCAAGCACTGGAACAGGCTGCCCAGGGAAGCGGTTGAGTCACCATCCCTGGAGGTATTTAAAAGACGCGTAGATGTGGTGCTTAGGGACATGGTTTAGTGGTGGACTTGGCAATGCTAGGTTAAGGGTTGGACTTGATGATCTTAAAGGTCTTTTTCAACCTAAATGATTCTGCGATTCTATGATTCTAAGCTTTGAAGTAGAAAAGGGCAGGCTGGCACCCCGTGTGCTGTGCGAGGACTCCGCTGTTTGCAAGGGTGCTGTCACCAGGGGAAAAGCAAAGCACGTCTTGCCCTGTGCAAGGCCAAACCTTGGCCAGGCATCTGTGCCACAATCATGGTGCCATGAGCCCAAAGAAGGCTCCGCCAGGAGCAGCTGACATTAAAACCCAGCACTCACTGCACAGCCTCAGTATTCATAGAATCATAGAATGGTTTGGGTTGGAAGGGACCTCAAAGATCATCCAGTTCCAACCCCCCTGCCATGGGCAGGGACACCCTCCACCATATCAGGTTGCTCAAAGCCTCATCCAACCTGGCCTTGAACACTTCCAGGGATGGGGCAGCCACAACTTCACTGTTCCAGTGCCTCACCTCATCCTCACTCATCCTCAGAGTGAAAAATTTCTTCCTTACATCTAATCTAAATCTGCCCTCTTTCAGTTTAAAGCCATTGCCCCTTGTCCTATCACTACATGCCCTTGCAAAAAGTCCCTCTCCAACTTTCTTGTAGCTTGTTTAGGTCATTTATTGAGTTCATTTATGGAGCTGGAGAATAAGGAAGGCAGAGAGTGAAGTCCTGATCTTACTATATCTATGAGAAAAACAGTCCCTTGACATCTGTGGAGTCATAATTAGGCCCCACACATTGCGGCTGGCGAGGCAGAGGTGATGACAAGAGGGGCAGGTTGAGTGCAGCCAACAAGATGGGGAGAGTTGCCATCCTCACGGTACAGTTAAGCCTTAAAACTCTGGAGGTCTTTACCAGGAAAAGTTTATATTATCAAAGTATGTGCTCCCTCCAAAGAGAAAGTTTAAGACTGTGAACTGATTCTCACTAGCAGCTCCCCAGCCCCAGGTCTGCAGGCCAAGCATCCACCTCCCTGCCCAGCTATGGGAGCTGAACAGCTCTGTAAATAATGGACCTGTTTGTTTTTTTCTGCTGAGAGCCCATGTGAAAAAAATGCAAGTACTATGCGGCTTGAGAATATCAGCACTGCTGCTTTTATATTCACCAACCTCAAATTGTACAGAACAGAAAATAACAGATTCACTGTAACCAAATCACTTAAATCTGCCCAAACTGCTGAAACATACATTTTTTTGTAACATGACAAAGTTTACTTCCAGATGGAGTTAAGCTTGTCTCAGGCTCTCTCCCCCATCCTCTGCTCCTGCTCCACGGTGATGGACGTGGTACCCGGCAGAGCTCTGCGGTACCACCATTGCCCCTGGCAGCACCACAGCCACCAAACACTGCAACACGAGGGGCTGCAGAGTTTTCAGCATAAAACAACCTTGTAGGCTTTGGTGAAAAGTGTCCTGACTGGTCTCCCCACTTTTTGAGGCCAGGAGTCAGACTGATAGTAAAAACGGGGCAAATCTACGGGCTTTCAGGGAATATTACTGCTTTCAACAACAGAGGCTTTGTTGCAAGAAGGTGCAATCTCAGTTGTTTCTGTGCATCCAGGGAGCCTCAGAAGCTGGGTAATTTAATTGCTTTTCAGCATCATCTCTTATCAGGTGCCTGTAGAAAAGCTAACAGCACTTCTAGAAAATTCTGTAAAACCTTGACTATTTCCCCTCCTTCTGAAACAGCTCTGCTAAAGTATACCTTTTCATTCCTCAGCCTGAATGAATTTCAATCAGTTCAGTCTTAATAGTATGCAAATTACAATAATTAGCATTAATGAAAAATTGAAAGAAAACACTAGGAAGTTTCTGAAGAAAAAGCATAAGGTCAAAAACAAGTACAAAAGGAAGGTGAGGTGCAGAGGTCCCGAATTACTTGTCCGATATGCACAGCAGGTGCCGAAGTATGCATACACAGGTACTGAAGTTGGAGAAAAAAACCCTAGTTTTGAAAAACATATTGAGCAGCAGCAAAAAATCTAACTATGCACATAGTACTTAACAGGCTTAAAGGCATCACGAGCTGTTTGCCTGAGGAATTCCTCACTCTGGAAGAAATACTACACAAATAAAGGTCTTCCAGGAATACCAGGGAAGGCTTTATTGCAGGAAAGAATGTGATATTTCTCCAGCTCTATAGACACTATGGATGATGGAAGGTCTTTGCTTCTCTCTGCATCCTAAATTAGCTGCTCTGGAAAAAACAGATAGACTGTCTTCCAAGATGGTCCTCAAACCCATAATGCCAGTAACAGCTTGACTCTCCCTCACCATGCCACCACCTTTAATGGCTCTTGGCAGAGAATACTTCATCTTTTTTCCCACAGTAAATTAGCCCTCCACTTCGAAGTTGCGATGTTTTAAGGTCAGCCATGGTTTACCCACTATGTAAATATTAACAGGCTGCTGCTGTATGCATTAGGCTCTGAATCTGGGAAAGCATTCGCAGTGCTAGGAGGTAACTGTCCTCACTGACTCCTGCTCATCTTGGACCAGCAGTACCAGAGCAGAGCACCAGCTGCCAAGACCATCAAGGCGCAGGGGAGGAGAGTCAGTGCCAGGCTGCACTTTTTTATCACTAAACGGAAAGCAAAGCTGCAGAAATGGTTCTCTCTATCAGTAATGCAGAAAATTAACAAAGTAAAACAAGAAAAAAAAAATCTACCCTGTAAAATCCGCAGAGCCAAACCCTATAAATGCAAATTAATTGACAAAGAAGATAAGATAAGCAGAGGCTGGGTGTGCAGAAATCCTAACAATCCAGTTCTTTGCATAGATAAGGTGTAAGTAACAACATGATCAGGCAGAGAGCTGGAAGCTGAGACTTGAGCATTTTATGTAAGTAGCATCACAGCAATCTGCCTTTCGGAGCACAGGAGCATATGGGAATCCTGAGCCTGCTCTCTCCCACAAAACAGAGATCTGAATAAAAGAAATATAAACAAAAAACTCAATGGATTTATACTGCTTTAGTGAAAGCTGGCAAGACTCACCCCCGTGCTCTGCTAATGCAGAGCAGTTTATCTACCTGGGTTAATCAGCCAGATCAACGGAGCTTATAGTCACTTTTGCTTAAAAAGGGAAACCAAAACAAGTGGGATACAGTAGAGTATACTTTATTAGACGTATCAGTATGCAGAGCACACTGACGTTTGTGGACCTGTATTTAAAGGTTTTGAAAGAAACCGTGCCAGTGAAGAGTAACAATAAAGATAAACAAATAATTTGAAGAACACAGTTATATTTTTCAATGCATTTTTATCTGTCCCTCACACCCCAATATAAACACATACCTACTGACTCACATCTCCCAGAGCCTTCTACATACTGAAAAAGATGTGTTTTGCCTGGCTGAAACATGACAGAGGTGACAGAGGACAAAATCCTATTAGAGTAGTACCTGAGTTGTTGGGTAGCTGGATTTGAGCATAAAAGTGCCTTGTGGTTAAAATATTATAGAAGGACTAAAACCTGCTGAAATTGCTTCAAGTCCAGGGCAGCTCAGTTTATTTACAAAGTCAAAGACCAGTCTGGGTTGTAAGGGACCCTTAGAGGTCTGTCCTCCAAGCAGGGCCATCCCAGACCCAGCCAGAGATACTCAGGTTCTGATTTGCAGTCTCATGTCAGTGGCCACATCCGTAAGCCCAAAGGCGGTATTAAGGAGTCCTTTACAAACTTCCACTTGCCACTCACCTGCAGATATCATTTTCAGGCTCCTCCAGTCCAAACTGATTATCAAAAGCCAGCTGGATTCTGGTGCTGTCTGGGGAGTGGAGCCGCCACGTCAGCAGGAGGTTCCGGGGGTAACTGCTGGGGAAGCGAGGACTGTGGATGCAGCCGTTCCCTGCCACGCTGATGGTCTCTTCTTTTCGGTACAAGTCTGTGAGGTGATTGCTCTCTGTTAGTAGTCACAACTTGTAGAAATTAGTATGTTGTTCCAGTTACAGGAAGACAAAAAACACAACAGTTTATAACACAGCACAAATTATTTGCATTTAAAGTCTATAAAAAGTTGGGTCTAGGAGCAGTTATTAAATAAGAACTAGTGTATTTTCTCGTAATTCAACTTCGTATAAACAATAAGAACAACACCACTCAACTATAGAGACTCTTTATTTTACAATAAATATATCATTACTTTTACATTGATATTGATTATATAATTTCCTTGTCACCATTTTGGTTTTAAAACAGAATTTAAACTTTAATAAAAGCTGCAAGCTTGAGAACCACGAAGTGAGACAGACTGAAGTAAAAAGGTAAACAGCTCTGCTTCCAAATTTGGTGCTCTGGAGAGAGATGTCCTCTGAAAAAAAGCAGCAATAAAAGGCTGCAGGAAAGTACATGTGAGTAAGTCTAAGTTTGTTCATTGCGCTTCAGTATTTTCTCCCAGAAGCATTTTTTAAGTCACATTCTCATTTTATTTATATGGCTTAAATCATTTGCTGTCAATGGATCATTAACACAAATAGCTACTCCACATTTACGCCGATGTAACTCAAGTCAGAAACTGTCCCACCAACTGTCTTCTTCAATAGCTTCAAGACAAATAGCCAAGTCTTTACTTAATTAAAATTCCACAACTTCTGCCTGAGCAAATACTCAATTGTTTGTAAAGTTTACTTACACTGAGGTAAAGCCTCAGCTGCTGTAAATCCCTAGCTCCAAAGATGACAGGAACCATGGCAAGACCCAGCTCCCTAGAAGACAAAATGTCTTCTCAGTTGCACCACGTGCTTGCATTGTCCAGCTGTTACTGATACGGGAACTTGGCTCCCAGCATCAAAGAACTGCAAGCGACTAGTTTTTTGTGCACTGACATCTCTAGTGTGGGGAAATTTCAAGGATCAGAAGGCTCCAAGGCAACATGCAGATCGTGGTGGGGTTCAGTTCCCAGTTAAGACACCCAGATCTGAGCCTCTAGCCATGAGGCAGCTGTATGCGTTCCCCGTGTGGTGTGTGGACATCCAGGGCTCACCTCAGTTACTCACAGAGACACTTCTACCACTGTCTCTAAGCACGGTTTCCTGCCTGGCCTCCACAAGGACAGTGAGGTTCAGAGGCACATCCAGCAGCCCCCAATGAAAGCTGTGCCGTCTCGTGAAGCCACCTGCGCATGGGCAAGCTGAGCCCTTTCTCAACACACCCAGTGGGAGCTACACCCAGACAGGTCCTGAGTCAGTCACCCAACTGCACTGACCAAATTTCTACTTACTACGGGAACTTAGACGCTTGCCTTCACGCAAACACCTAAACACCAGTGTCCTAATACTAAACTGAACATCACCCCCAGTACTCTGCTGAACGTCAGGTCAACCTCCAGTTCCACCACAAGCAACAGAAATAAACACAAAACTGGTGCCTCCTGAATTTGGCTACTGCGGAGGAGCAAAGCGGGGAAAATTTCTCCCACCAAGCCACGCTATGAATGTTGGAAATACAAAATCAAAGTAAGCAACCAGCCACAGCCATCTGTCACACACAGTAATCAAGGTTTTCTCTCTTAAAATAAAATCTAATGTTTGACCGAAGCCTTCTGAGCTCTTTATATAAAAGAATATATATTTGTTTCATAAATGCTCATGGAAAAGAGGAACTTAGAGAAACGGTACAAACTTCATTGTAAGTACCTCTATTTTTTCAGGTTGCTTTTCACTGGTTTCTGGCTGTAAATACCTCCCTGCATGTAGCTGTAAGCAAAGCATGGTTGTGTGTCAACAGTTCATTGTACCCTTCTGACAGGGTAATAATTCTAGCTTCCAAAGAACCTGAAACTTAGGAGATAAAAGTCTGGGTTTCCTGTAAAAACTATCTCTGAAGATTTATTTGTGACATCTTTCTAAGATGCTTTCATTCAAGATGAAATGTTCTCACACCCTAAGTCACCCTTTCTAAGCAAATACAGCCCTGACTCCATAGCTCACAAAGTGCAGAACTAGCCAGTTTTGTCAGTTTTGTTTCATTTTGACCAAACAATTTGCATTGAAAAAGTGACAAGTCAGTGAAAATAAAGGCCACGCACCTATTAGTTTTGTTGCAATTTTCATAGAATGATTTCATAGAATCATAGAATGGTTTGGGTTGGAAGGGACCTCAAAGATCATCTAGTTCCAACTCTCCTGCCATGGGCAGGGACACCTCCCACTACATCAGGTCGCTTAATGCCCCATCCAACCTGGCCTTGAACACTTCCAGGGATGGGGCAGCCACAACTTCTCTGGGCAACCTGTTCCAGTGCCTCACCACCCTCACAGTGAAGTTTCTTCCTTATATCTGATCGAAATCTGCCCTCTTGCAGTTTAAAGCCATTGCCCTTGTCCTATCATTACACGTCCTTGTCAAATGTCCCTCTCCAGCTTTCTTGTAGGCCTCTTTCAGGTACTGGAAGGCTGCTAGAAGGTGTCCCTGTAGCCTTCTCTTCTCCAAGCTGAACAACCCCAACTCTCTCAGCCTTTCCTCTTAGCAGAGGTGCTCCAGCCCTCAAATCATCTTCATGGCCCTCCTCTGGACCTGCTCCAGCAGCTCCATGTCCTTCTTCAATTGGGGTCCCCAGAGCTGAACGCAGTACTGCAGGTGGGGTCTCACCAAAGCAGAGTAGAGGCAGAATCACCTCCCTCGGCCTGCTGGACATGCTTTCATCAGGAACATCTACACTGAAGTTTGTTTTCTATTTTATTTTATTCTCATTATTATTTCTTTTCTGGAAAAAAAAAAAAAAAAAGACGACACGTCTGGGTTTTTTTTCCCTAATCTGGAATGAAACAAAATGTCCAGCCAACACTACTGAGTTCCTACTGAAATGCTGAGGACCTTTGAACTCTGAAAACCTGCAGTATACCCAAGAAGAAAAAATACTTCTTTCACAGGATTATGTCCAAAATGCCCAAGAAAAGGGATAAAAATAGAACAGCTTTGATGAAAGCAAATTCTGCACTTTTGAATGAAACAGCCATTCCTTAAGTCAAAACAAAAGTTACTGCAGTAAAACATGGCAGAACTCATCCTATACCTGAGAGTAGTTTGCTCTTCTTTCTTGGACAGCAAACTCTTGCCATTTTTGCACTCTCAGCACACATTTCACTGCGTGGTTCAATGTGGTTCATGCTTCTGAGGGAATGGTTCCCTTTTCCCAGCCAGCCCTAGTACAGGCTTTACTCCGGAGCTGTCAGCTGCTAAGTGAGAGTGCCAGGGACGGCATCTTTTAAATGTGCACAAACATGTACCCCTAAACAAAAAATGTGTGCACTTAACTCAGCACACCAGCTGAGAAAGTATGTTACCAGCTTTCTTGTACCCCAACAAGAGGCTCTGATATGGCGTTTCATTTAATTTAAAACTCTGAATCCCACAGACTGGAGCGCTCTGTTAGCAAGTCAGTCGCAGCAACCACGACCAGTGCTGAAAGGTAACGGCTGGCGTGGCTCCGCAGCGTCCCAGCTGAACAGGGAAGGGCAGAAATAAAGCTGCGCATGTTTAAAAGCTTAAAAATCAAAGCGCAGTGACTTCTTATTTCTATCATGGTAAATGCAGTAATTATAAAGTCATTATAGAGGAAAGGCTGGAGAGAAGCACTGGGAGGCAATGCTCAGTATACTAAAACAGACGACATAAAAATATTACAGTATGAAGATATGCCTTTTCCACGAAGGAAGAAAGTACGTTTGATGAGAATGGCCATAAATACTGTTTCCACAACTCCCATGGGATGAAATGCAAAGCCACTCAGAGCTCTCGCCTGACACTGGAATAGACTCTTCAGGAGCTCTGAAACAGCTTCATTCCCTCCTACCTCTCTCTCCACATGCTAAACTATGACCTGAAGCGGTGTAGCCAGAACTAGAACCAAAAGCATTGAGTTTTCCATAGGATTTTGCAGACTTAGTTGGTTTAGACAAGACACAGGAACACAATCAATCCAAACTCGATCTCTGAAGGTTGGCCCCTTGTGAATGAACCATCAAGCATCTGGGAAACAGCTTGAGGAGACATGAGCAACTCCTGTACTTCTTTAGAGGAACTAAGATGTAAGACTAAAACAGCAAGACCTTTCCAAGCAGGCAAGCATTGTTCTCATCAGATACACCAGGGGAACTCGTGAAAAACAGACAATGGCCATGGGGAAAGCCAGGAAAAGAAAAGCCACTTGAGAAAAGATGTTGGCAAAGGAAAAGGTAGTACCTCTTTCAAGGCACTGAACTGTCCCAGGTTGCAATGCAATACAACGTAGTGTTATACAGTGACCTGAATGTCACACACTAACTGTATTCCATAATGCTTTATGGGAGTAAATAAAAGACGACAGTGGGTAATACAGTGCCTGTCATATTTACTAAAAAGCATGTAAAATCATTTCGCAACAAATAAAAGCAGGTGTTAAGTCATAAGGTAAACAGGCCATTTAAGCAATACACAGGAGGAAGATATTCTAGATGGCAGGAGCTACAAAGACATCCCTGCACTGGGGGAGGGAAACTATCTCACAAGGAAGATGAGTGGGAAGAAAGCTGGGAGACATCCTTCGCAGTGAGGCAACTCCCTGCAGAGAATCTGAGCTGACTGGGAAGCAGCTTGCTCTATATTTTATTTATCTGAACTAATCTCTCTTTTCTTTTTCTTATAATTCTTTCCCAACCACTAATTTTAAACATAATGGTATACATGATAGTCCACCTGCCCAAGTTAGAAGAGCTCCCATTTAAGTGCTCAAAGCAGCTGTGTTTTCAAAAGTGATTGCCTTCCTCTCCTTGCATGGAGAGCAGCTGGGTGTCCAACTGGGAACTGGGAAGTTCAGCTCAACCTTCAGAAAACTGTGCTTGTCTCAAGACTCTCCCCAGCGTGAGTGCCCAGCACAAAAAATGTTTCTCCTTCCCAGCTGGGACACATTCTCCTAACACCATG